TAAGTACATAATATGCATTGAATAAGTTACTATATTATTATATTATTAATTTTGTAGTGTCCTTAACTTGTATCCTTATTAGAGCACACATTAAAACAATCAAATGAAGATGGAATGCATGGATATGATGCATGTAGACATAACATGTATATTCATATTTTGCAAAAAATTTCAATCAAATTGAAAACAGTAAGGTATAACTTGTCCCTTAAGTCCTTAGCAATCTTGAAGACTTTTAATTTCTAAAAAATTAACAAAAGAATATCCATACTAAGGTAAAAGAAGAAGTAGGCCAAGAGAGACATTTAGGTTCTTAGAAATTTTGATCTCTATCTCAAAATTGATATATCATTTTCTTATATATGTAGCCTTGTAAACAATTCAATAATTGTTTTGGACTTTCTTAAACAATTCCATAATTGTTAGAATTGTAAATAATTCATAATTATTATGAAGTTGTCAAACTTCTTTAAATAATAACATTAGATTAAATTTAATCACAATTAAAATTTAACACTTAAATTGTTTACATAGCAATTATCCTAAATTGTTCATATGTTTACAATTAAAGCCCATTGTTAAATTCAATTTAATATAAAGAAAATGATTAATTATGAATTGGAATTCCATTTAATTCCAATTAGTAATTTAATTCTTAAATTATTCATAATAACTAATAAACCCTCCATTGAATCTAATTCAATGATAATAATATAATAAACTTATTACCCTCAGTAGGTGCTAGTCAACCTTAGATATCACTCTTTTTGGTTATTTCTCCATTCTCCTTATGTTTTTATGTGTGACCTCTTAGGTTCACTGTGACCTAGCCGTGGGACCCAATATCATAGTCTATTTTGATATTTTTTATTATAACTCTTTATGAAACTCCACCGATTATGATAGACATCTAGCATACTCTATAACCCTTAAATCCACATGAAGATATACTCAATGAACTTTTTATAATCATACCACTGTAATCAATCCTTTCCGTTGTCTAATCCAATTAAGAATAGATTCATGGTATGTAAAAATCTTTACTTAGTTTTATATCAAATGACAATCAATATATATGGAACGTTCACCATGAAACACCTTTTAGATAATATTTATATACCCCGACCGAAATTTCCTTTTCCAATTATCTTGACATTTGTCAGGAACTTGATATCAATCTATATCAAGTTACAGATCTCATCTTGACTATCACTTGTCCTCACACATAAACAACACATGGCCAAATCAGCTTATTATAATCATGATTAGCCTCGTGTTATACACCATGTGTACATATGTGTTTATGCAGAATCCAACCATAAATCTCAGGTCTAAGGATTAATAATATACTAGTACGATCTTATGATGAATCATTGACTACATTTTAAATGTCCATGTGATTAATCATAAGCAGTCATATTCGATAAACAGTTCATAACCGTTTATCTATGCTAATGCCCTAGTGATATAACTTTTATATCACTTCACTAATACCATCAAATGATATTCTACAGAGACATTTAGCATACCTACTATGTAATTTATTGCCAATTAATATTACCTGTGAGGGGATACTTTGAGATTTGATCTTCTAGATTTGTATCCATCCGGACATTTCACATGTAATATATATATATACACCAATAAACTACATGTGAAATAAGAACACTTTCTTCTATTGATAAGATAAAAATCTATATACAAAATCTATATATTAACATATATATACAAAACATAATACTTTAGAACCGATGAGACGATTGGTTCCCGAGGCATACACTAACATCTTATTTATAGGGGTGTGAAAATCTAATTAACCGAACTGGATAAGTGTTTTTGAATTGAACCAGTTTTTCGGTTCAGGCAATATAGCAAATGAAACCGGATCGATTACCCCATAAACTGGTTTCTAACCGAACTGATAATTTAGTTGGATATCGGTTAACCGATTATTAATCGATTTGAAGCTTACAAAATGAAATCCAATCTGTAGGAAGCAGTTTCACCAGGGAAAAAAAAATAGCAAAAACAAATTATAATCATTCACTTCTTCGCAAGTAACAGGTACTAAAAATATAATTGATCATTAAAGTATTAAACATAATATAATCCACTTCAAAATTCCGCACTCCACACACCCCAAAATCAAAATTTTTCTAGGAGTTTTTCACAAGTAACATGTTCAAAATGTTGGGTCCCATCTCAATTTATGATTACTGAGACAAAGTTAACACAAATAGTGAGCAATGTAGAAGGGTATATTGGAATTTAATTAAATTGTAATGATTTGGAAACTTTTGGGTGTAACTAAATTGAACCTTGCTAGGGAATTTCTTGTGTGGAATTAATGAATTTGTGTCACAATCACTCCAGATGTGAATGGCTTATTACTTGTTTGTTGGGGTTGCAATAAGAAAAAGGAAAAAGGCAAGGCATCTTCTAGGAAATGAGATAAGTTGAAATGCTTGAGATTGATGCAAAGACTCAATTAGATGATGTCTTCGTTTCTCTTTATGTTTTTGTTAATTGTATCTCATCACTGGAAGTTAATGGCTGTTGCTTCTTCTTTCGCTTCTCCTCAAGAAAAGTATGATGTTTTTCTTAGTTTCAGAGGTGAGGATACCCGCAATAATTTTACTAGCCATCTGTATGCCGCGTTGTGTCATAAAAGATCAATACATTCATTGATGACGAGCTTAAAAGAGGGGATCAAATTTCTCCATCTCTTTGGATGCAATGAACGGTCAAAGATTTCCTTGATCATTTCTCAAAAGGGTATTCTTCTTCGGATGGTGTCTCGAAGAACTTGTAAGATCCTTGAATGCAAGAACAGTTATGGTCAGTTGTAATCCCTGTTTTCTATGGATATATCCATCATGTAAGGAATCAGATTGGGACTTTTGGGATGCATTTACTAAGCTTGAAAAACGTTTCAAGGGTTCGCAAGAAACATTGCAGAGATGGAGGACTGCTTTAAGAGAAGCTGCCATCTATTGGCTTTGATTCAAATGTCTCACGTAACTGTTAATACTTTATTTTCTGCTGATATTTTTTTTTGTTTTTCATTTGACTTATTTGATTCTTCGTTTCAATTTAGCATCAATCATTGGTTGAACTATCTAATATTTGTAAATAGTGTATCACTCAACTGTAGTCCACATATGATATATTAAATAGAAATATCGGTAGACTTTATATATGGCAAATTATTATTTTATATTAAAACTAAGCCATATGTACTCTTAGATTATTACTTTACACTCAAAAAATCATGTTATTTGACATATCAAAGTCTTTTGGTTTCTTTGGGAAAGGAAAAAAAAATAATAAGAACCAATAATATGAAGTTAAAACAAGTGATAAGTTCTTTGCAATTGAGGGTTTGGAGAGAAATGTTAAAAAAGAGTGGATACATGAAAGATATTATATATATATAACTTTATTAGTGTTTTTTGCATTTAGATATGACATATGTATTTATTATATTGTTAAGGACGTGCAAAGGTTCAAACTCTATCATATATATATAGTGTTTCTTGCACTGAGATATGTTCATATATACAAGGATGGAAAATGTACCTTTTTATCTTTTTGATTTATCTAATTTAAGTATTTTTTTTGTTTTTTTTCCGTATTTGATAGGTCCGAGTCTACACTTGTGCATAAAGTTGTCGAAGGTATTTTGGAGAGATTGAATGAGGACTCACCTTTAATTGAAAACAAGAACCTAGTTGGAATCGATTCTAGAATTGAGTATATTGAATGGCTATTATGCATTGGTTTTGCTGGTATTCGCAAGATAGGAATTTGGGGTATTGGTGAAATAGGTAAGACAACTCTTGTTGATGCCGTATTCAATAAAATCTCTAGACATTTTGAAAGCTCTTACTTTGTTAAAAATATTAGAGAAGAATATGAGAAAAACAAGGGACTAACTGACTTGCACCAAAAACTTATTTGTGCAATTTTAGAGGATGAACGTGCTAATATGAGATCCACCTTCACCAAAAGAAGGCTTGCCTACAAGAAAGTTCTCATCGTTTTTGACGATGTGACAAATTTAAAGCAAATAGAATCTTTGATTGGACGTTTTGAGTATTTGGGCTCAAGAAGTCGGTTCATGATAACGACAAGGGATAAGCAAGTATTAAAAAATTGTGAAGTGGATTACATATATGAGACTGAAATATTATCGGATGATATAGCTTTCCAATTGTTTAGTCGATATGCCTTTAGACAAAACCTTCCCACAAAAGATTTTATGCTACTATCTAAAAGGGTGTTATCATATGCCAAAGGTGTCCCACTTGCTCTTGAAGTTTTAGGTTCCTCTCTATTTGAGAGAACAAAGAAAGAATGGGAAAGCTATATAAATAGATTAATTAGAATTCCTGATATGAATATCCAAAAGGTTTTAAAAGTAAGTTATGATGGGCTAAATATGGAAGAGCAGAATGTATTTTTGGATATTGCTTGTTTCTTTAAAGGGTATAACAGAGATCTTATAGAAGCAATCTTGGATGGCTGTGGCTTCCACTCACACATTGATATAAATATTCTTATTAAAAGGTCTCTACTAACTGGATCATCCAACACCATAACAATGCATGATTTACTTCAAGAAATGGGTAGAGATATTGTTCGTGGAGAATCAACTAATGATCCTGGCAAACGTAGTCGGCTTTGGGATCATAAAGATATTTTATCAGTATTGACAAATAATGCGGTGAGAGCCAAAGACATTAATTTTTTTTTTTTCTATGTTTTATATGAGATATTATGAAATATTATCTTGTAGGATATTCAATTCCAGTTATCATTGGGAATTAACTCAACTCATAAAGTGATTGGGTGACGTGGGAACGTAAGATGTCTTATGTATGACATTTTTGAAAAGAAAGTTGAAAAAATAAAATATTATTTGAGTGTTAATTACTTGACAGTTAATGTAATTAAGCTATGTAATACTAACTCATCATCAATCTGCTATTGATTATTAGGGGACCAGAGCTATTCTAGGCATGCGCTTGGATATGTCCGAAGTAAGACAGCTACATTTAAATCCTAAAGCTTTCAGGAAGATGCATAATCTAAGATTCTTGGAAGTACATGGCTGCTGGAATGATAACAAGGTACATGGTTTCGAAGTCCTTAAATCTGATTTCTCTGAGCTACGGTACCTTCGCTGGGATGGATATTCTGCCAAATCATTGCCACCAAATTTTAATCCAAAGAACCTTGTTGCACTCTACATGCATTCTAGTAACGTTAAACAAACTTAGAAAAGAAAACAAGAAAAAAATTAACTTTTATTTTTCATTTTGTGTTTTAAATTGTAAATATTTATGTTCTTTTAATTCAATTAATTTTATTTTTTATTACAGAAACAAAATCTTGTTAATTTGAAACACATTGACCTCAGTTACTCTAAGCATCTACGTAGTGTGCCTGATCTCTCACTTATCCCAAATCTTGAGAGCTTGATTCTGGAAGGTTGTACAAATTTGCATCTAAGTTTCTCGTCTAACCATAATGTCAATAAGCTTGTTCTCCTGAATCTACGAGAATGCAAAAACTTGAATAGGCTATCAATCGGAACTCATTGGAAATATCTTCGAAAACTTATTCTCTCTAATTGCTCAAATCTGAAAACAGTTTCATATATCCCTCATACAGTAGAAGAGTTATATGTAGATGGAACTGCAATAAAAGAATTGCCGCCATTAAAGGATCTTTCCAAATTAGAAATATTGAATCTTAAGGATTGTTCAAGGCTAGTGAGTCTGCCAGAGAGTACTTGTGAGTTGAAATCTCTTCGACAAGTTATTCTCTCCAATTGTTCAAATCTCAAAACAATTCCATATATCCCTTGTGCAGTAGAAGAGTTATATTTAGATGGAACTGCAATAAAAGAATTGTCCTCATTAGACCATCTCTTCAGACTAGTAAAATTGAGTCTTAAAAACTGTTTAAGGCTTGAGAGTCTCCCTGAAGTATTTGTGAGTTGAAATCTCTACAAACAATTATCTGCTCTAATTGTTCAAATCTCAAAACAGTTCCATATCTCCTCGTACAGTAAAATGGTTGTATTTAGATGGAACTGCAATAAAAGAATTACCGTCATTAGGGCACCTGTTCAGACTAGTAACATTGGTCTTAAAAACTGTTCAAGGCTTGAGAGTCTCCCGGAGAGTATTTGTGAGTTGAAATCTCTTCAATCTCTCTCTCTTTCGGATTGTTCAAAACTTGATAGATTGCCTAACAGCTTGGGAGATCTAAAAGCATTGGAGACACTAGAAGTCGATGGAATTGCTATAAGAGAATTACCATCATCTATAACTGTTTGGAAAACCTTCAATTTTATCTTTCGCCAGATGTAGGAATTGGAGGTGTTGAGTTTCCTAGTGTATCCTTTCATGAGCTGCTGCTTGTGGAAACTAGATTTGACTGACTGTTGTATCAAAGTGTTACCCAGTGATCTTGGCCGAATACACTCACTGCATATTTTATCTGGGCCGAAACAATTTTGAGAGCTTACCAGTTAGCATCAAAGATCTCTCTGGGGTTTAGGCTTGATTTAAGCAACTGTGAGAAGCTTAAATCCTTACCTGAGCTTCCACAAGAGTTGTGACAATGAGGCACAGGGTTGCACCTCTCTTGAAGCATTATCAGGTCTACCAAGTCGATGCCTAAGTATGTGGGCTCAGTTCGAGAGGATTAGCTTCATCAATGTTTCAAACTGAAATTACATGGACTCCCAGATTTGACAGATGCTCTACTCAATATTCAGAGAAATGCAAATTTAGGATTCTACCTGAAGAAGCAGTAAGTCTATCTTCTCACACTCTTCTTTTCATAAGATAATGATTTTCTCTTTTTTTCCCTAAAAAATGGATCTGTGATGTTGATCATCAATGTGAGGAGAGATTGTTTATATATTTTATTATATTTTTTAGGTTCGGGCCCTATGCACCAAGAATTATACTCTAATACTCAATTTTTTAAGTACACTCATTATATAACCAAATAGGAATTATTTTTTTCTTCAGTTCTAATAAACTTTTTGGTTTTCAATGTATTTTTCATTTCATTTAACGTCAATATACGGATTTTATATAAAAATTATTAGAGTTGTGGATTAAAATTTTTTTTAAAATTTTTAATGATGTGTGTACTTAACAAATGGGTATTCAAGAACTTTTTATTGGCTGCAAATAGCCAAATAGCCCTACCCTTGTAGTGCCCTGCTAGCGATATTTAAGCTTGGTTCTCACAAAATTCACGTAGAACGTTATATATATATATATATATTATAATATATATATATATATATATATATACATTTTAAATTACAAGGACCTAATTAGCATTAAAGCAACCTTAAAAGGGTGCCGTTAAAATAAGGAAGTAGAAGTTGATTATTTTCTTGGCACAGGTAAAGAGACGCTACTTCCTGCTACGGAGTAGCCCACCAAGGGCTTGTATATGTTACCCTGGAAGCAAAATTCCAGAGTGGTTTAGCTTTAAAAGTACTGGATTTGAGGTAAAGCTTCCAGCAGGTTGGCTCAATGATAACTTAGTTGGTTTCACTTTGTGCGCTGCTGCATCTTTTCGAGACTATCAAGAGCTTGGAACCTTCAAAGTTAGATTCCGTTTGCTTGTAAACGAGGACATCGTTTCCTCCGGCGATTTGTTTCATTATAATGGGCATGAGGTTATTGAATCTGATCATGTATACGTTGGATATGATTATGGTATCATGTCCACTGAATTGCTTACACTCAGTTTGAATAGTGAGGGCCACATTGTGTTCTTTGTTGAGCATGGAAGTGAGAATAGCATTGATTTTAGCAAGGTGAAAAAGTGTGGAGTTAGATTGTTGTACGCCAAAGATAATTATATGGGAGCAGACGCAAAAGTGGACAGAGACCAGAGATTGAGACCTATAGCTGGTGCCTGCATTTGGAAATATAGAAGAGACCAATGAAGCAGGCACGGTAAGTTGGTTAAATTAACCAAAAACATAATAGAAGAAAGTTATTACATATTTATTTTCTCGAGCCTTGTTTTGAATGGTTTCTATGGACTCAACGCATATGCGAGCAACTAGTAAGTAGCTTTCTCATAGTTAAGCCCTCAAAAAATTTGGCCACTTTGTTTAACTTTGCTATCTGCATGTATGTATTACTTTTAGCCATGCATTTTAACCTTGTTATCTGCCTCTATGATTTATGGGTGAAGTATTAAACTTGTCCTATATGATTTAATAGGTTTATCAGGATTTAGAATAAAGCTCCACGAAAATCACCCAATTATTATTAATATTTTTAAACTTGGGGGAAGCCTAATTAATAAATTTCACGTAAATATGTTTTTTGTTCCAAAAGGAAAGTGATTATACCATGATCTCAAGTCATAATGCAAGGAACGATCTTGCAATGTTTTTCACTTGTAGAATTATTGTAGGGCTATGCCATTATTGTTTTTATTGTTATTATTGGTATAAAATGTTGATTGTATTTATTAGTTTTCCGAATTTGTTAACTGAATGGAACTGACAGGATGCTAGCCGAAGGAGTAACACATGTTGGAGTTGGCGACCACTATGAGAATAATGGCTGGGCGTTCTTATACTGAAAATGCATGGCTAAAAGTAGTATAAAAAACCATAAACAATTACATTCATTATAACAAGGAAGATGAAAATTGAGAAAATATTCAATGTTTTCAAACTCGGCCCAGGTGGACCGGTATAACCGGGTTAACCGGAAAGTGGAGACTAGGCCGGGTTTTAAAGGGATAAAAACCAGCATACGCAGTTCGCCTGATATCACCCGCAGTTGGACGGTATTTACTGTAGTTAACCGCCGGTCCAACCGGTTTTGGCACAAAACCGGGATACTGGCACACTGATTAAAAAAATTCCCATTCCCTTTTCAATTTTCATTTTCTCAATTCGACTACATCTATCTACCCCCAGTGCATCTTCAGTTCTTCAATCACTGCTTTCTTCGATTGGCGGCCTGTGTGCCAAATCCATCCGCTGCCAGCCGCCTTGCAATCGCCATCCACCGCTGAAGTTCGCGTTTCATTTCATCTTCACTTCATCTACCTTATAAGTTTTATCTACTTATTATTGGTTTATGTTATTTAAACTGAAGATTGGATTTGGGAGAAACCGGGAAAGGAGATTGGATTTGTGTTTGTGATTATTTGTTTGAAATTTGAAATGCTGATGTATCCAGATACTACCAGTACATTATGAGTCAACTATTAGCCTTTTGCTTTGATTCATCATTTTCTTTCATTTGTACTCTGCCCCCTATGTAGTGTTTCTATTTGTAACATATATCTACAAATTTCAAAAGCATTATGCAGTTTACTGATAAGTTTACTGCAATCTTCAATTCATGAATTGAAAAATCCCTTTCAGTGGAATCAGTCCCTCACTCACGGCAAGGGAACAACGAAGGTTTGGTTTTTATGGGAGTGTGCTTGTTCTGTTATATAGTGGGTCCACCTTTCTACTGGCACTTCAGGGTTTAGCCGTTGTGAGCCGTTCCTCACCACCTGCGATCCATGCCCTTGTTATGGCTCCTCTCAGCCTCTCCTCTCCATCTCTGACGCTATTTTCTTTTTACCCTCCGATTGCCCAGATCCCTGATTTCCTCCCTTTCTTTCTGATCTGCAGTCAAATTTTGTTCTTCTCTTCTGCGATTTTAATGTTAGTAACGTTTCTACCATAATTCTTACTTTGATTAACTTGAAAAAAGATTCTAAATTTTGTGTTTCAGGTTACTGTGGGTTAGTATGTTTGTAAATTTTAATTAAAGCATTATGGATTTTAGAGGGACCAGAGGTTACTATGATTCTATAAGAAAAACAAATACTTTAACAGTATTGAATATTGATTATTAATGTATTGGTCATGATTGAGTATGCGAAATCTGTGCTCAATAAGTGTTCAAGTTTTGCCTATTTCATGTGTGTATTGATGGTTTTGTGCTGTGTGCACTCAAGTGTGTGTTTAGACTTGAGCAAGTATGTCTTAGTTTCTGAATTTGCATTTGATGTGAACGCATTGTGATGGCTTTTTGTGTGTTATATGTGTAACCAAGGAACTTGTTCTGCATTTACATAATCTAATTAAGTTGAGTTATATAGAGTTTTAACATTCTGATACTTTTTTTTTTTTTTTTTTTATTTGAATAAATATCGAACTTGTACTTATTCCAGTTTCTTTGTCCATGTTTGTGCAGGATTAAGCAATGCATCCTTTCACAGGTTAGTTCCTTTGTCATAGGGTTTATAGTTATTATTAGTTTTTTTGGTTACTTGTACAGTTCTCGTTCTTGTTCTGTTTGGGCTACTTGGTTTTTGTTGATGCTTGCCTTGTGCATTTTGTATAGTCTGTTGACACTGCAGACATCAGGTGCATGCTGCAGGTTGTGTTGCCCAGGGTTGACCTGTTGCTGTTGCTTTCTTGTGCAGTTGTTGGTTTGTTTTACTGCATATTGGCCTGTTTTGGGAGATGGATTAGTAGAGTGTTTGTTGCTGCCCATTGCTTTTTGTTTTTGTTTTGGCGTGCTGTTATGTGTTCATATTGCGGGTGTGTGCTACATTTTCTGTTGACTGGACAATGTTGAGCTGCTGCCGCACTCGTGTAGATTTTTCCTGGTTTTTTTGGTTCTGCTGATTGTCCAGGTTTAGGTTCTGATTTAGTGGTGTTTGTATCAGCCTTTTGTAGTTTTCTTGTTTGGTACGTAAGGATTGTATATCATGGCCTTCTTTCGCGCTTTTGGGGATTTTTTAGTTTCTCAGGTCTGTCCAAGATTCGTAGCCGTCAAGGCTTTTTACCCTGTTACGTTGTATTCATTTTTTCTTTTTTGTAATTACCTTTCACCCATAATTTATTAATTTTTCATTTTTGATGACATCATCCTGACGTTAGCATGACATCATCATGCTGATGTCGCCATCAATGTGATGCTAAGATCAGCATGATGGCGTCACCGGTCCAACCCGCTAATCGCTTGACCCAGGACCTAGCCTCTTGGCCGGTTGACACCCCGGGTCAAGTATTAAAACATTGGAAATATTGCAATAATATTAACTCTGCTGGACGTAGCCTAGATAAATAGTGCGTATTCTTTCTCTTTATTGTTTTCGCTATTTGTGTGTGGTTAGCTTTATATTGATCCTAAACACTCTCTAGATTGTTTCAACATATTAAGTGAAACTTGGAGGTTGAAATCTGCTTACATAAAAGGTGACTTAAGTTCAAACCCATGAGCTCATTATAGTAGGTTGGAACAAGTTGACAGGATTCCCTTTTACATCCCCATATCCCTCCAATGGTAAAATGTAAAATGACTTGTGCAAATTTTGCGTAGCATGTCTCTTGTTGGTAGGAATCCCTCCAAGAGGAAATTCAAGGCTTTACACTCCATCATTTATGGGGTTTCTTGTTTACCTGATCTTGAAGATATGCCAAATCTTGGAACTCTTTATGGTATTCTGTATAGTTGTGGCAGTGTCCCGCATAGTAGTTCAATGGTTTCAAGGTAAAGTTTACTTTTTGTTGCCTTCTGAAGCTAGCTTTCTGCAATTTATATTGGTCATTATATTTGGTTTGTCTTGTTTTGCATTATTATATATTTGGGTGAATCCATGCCATGCCCTCTGTGTTCTGCAGTTTGAAGTGCTATTATTACTTAATATCAAGCATTCATCTAGTGAAGGCATAGTCTTCTTTTTTCTTTAAAATAAAAAACTCATTGCCTCAAAGTGTGACAGACATTTGATAATTTTAATTTCTCCTCTGACGAAGATAAAAGGCCCCATTGACGCAGCAGTCCATCCCATGCATATTGTGTGTACATCAGGTTGCACAATTCTTTTTATGAATTATTCATTCAATTCCTGAATTGTGGAATTGTCTCTTTCTGATGCTAGTCAGTTTTCAGCCTCCCAGATGACTGAAAGGAAAGCAAAAAACTGCAAAAACATGCCAAACTGTTCAACATATAAGGAGATATTCTTTATGGGAGAGGATTAACAGGATTATTACTCTGCGGTGGGAGGAAGCTAACCAAGTAATGAAAGAAGTTCAAGCTGACCAACAATGGAAGACAATACCACCTGCTTTGTTCAGAATTGCAAAATTTACAGTGATTGTTTCAGTCTTTTTTGGTCTCTGGTGCACACACTAACGATAACCTTTTAGCTTGGCCTGGGGACACATATTGTGATGGCTGTCATTCTGAAATTCTCTGGATTTTCTTCCCTGGAATTCAGACTATGTTGCTGAACTATTTAATTAGATTTGTTAGATGAAGGCTGCTGCTATATAATCGTTTACTGCCGGATGCTTTCTGTGTTGTGATTCAACATAGCTACTATCTAATGTTGGTGATATTTGGTTTTCTAGGCAGTGAAATGATGTTGATTGCTCTTTCTACTCTTGTAAGCTGCTACTATTTGGGTATTTGTTTTCTATGTGAAATTCTGTTTTGTTTTTTCTGGGCTTTTCCTGATGTTTTTGCCTTCTGAGGCTGCCTTTGTTTCATTTATTTGCTTAATTAGTTTGTTTTCTTTCTATGGCTATGCTGTGGCTATATAATACCATGTAAAAGTGCATATTACAAATTTTACGTTTTTGTTTTACGAGTTTCATGTTGATGTGTTGTTGCAGCGATCTATTGTAACAAAACCCACTATTGGTTATCACAAATATTTTCTGGATGATATCTGATTGATGGGCACTTTTTTTTCCATATACAATAACACAGTTTGATCTCATAATATGGTAACTTAATTTGCTCCTAAGTTGGATTTATGACCTTATGAACCAATAGTTTCCAGCCAGGTGAGTTTATGAAATAAGGTACAATTCATCCTGCTCAAATATTGTCTCAGTTGCCAATTTCATTGCGTTTATTATTATTTTTTGCCAGTTTCATTGCATTGTTGCCAATTCCAAGCCATGAATCACCACTTGTTCAATTTGTTCACAAGCCTAATATGTGAGAAGAGCCAGGGTGAAGACCCGGTATGTAAATCCCATTTTACTATTATTGCCTTTAATCAATTAGTTCTTTATTTATTTTGATTGATTTTTTCTGTTGGTTCCGTTTGTAAAATTCAAATTTCACTGAAACTGACCCAATAGGAATTATGATGGGCTGTAGAGGGTGGAATATGGTTGCAGGAAGGTGGCAAATTGACTTTTTTGAAGAACGATTAATATATGCATTTGAGTCAATATTCTAAGTAAAACACTTAAGTTACTCTCACCTAACCCTTATGATTTAGAGTCAGTTGCATGAAAAAGAAATTATTGTCTTAGAATTCCTCTGTTTTGCTTTTAGATTTTAGTAAGTGACTTACTCTAATCATGAGCATGAAGACCAAGAAATGGAAAATTGATTTCTTGTTCGTGTTGCTTTTGCAGTAAATGAAGGCCTTTTTCTTTCTCTACTTGTGCATCCAACTCCTGTGATGAAGTGTGTATTGTAGATTATGGTGTTCATTGAGATATTTGACTTTGATTGCTAGATTTGTACAATTAGACTGCCACATAGTCCATCCATTTTTGTCTTTTTGCATCCTTATAAATAATTCGCCTTGTGTTGATTTCATCTGCAAAAGATAATGCTTATTGTTAAATTGAAGTCTTCTCAGACCTTAATCAAATTATGTCAGAACTTAACTCTTAGGCTCTGTTGCTATTGCTTTAGTAGAGCAAGTTTTTATGGTTTCCATGACTTCAGTTGTTATGCACTGGAACTCTGTCAATTTGATATTTTGTAATCCTGATTTTGTTTAATTCAAATTTAGACCTCAAGCTCAAATACCCCTTATATCAATTTTGCATCTTGTTGTCATTATGCCTATATCTTGTACATGTGTTTATGTCTAAAGCTAATGGAGCTGCATCCCATCATAAATTCAAAGGGCATGAACTCTCCGTCCACCTAGTTTGCCAACTCAAGTAGATTGGGAATTTATGAACACATTCATCAACTTGGCACATGGGGGGAAAACTTTAAAAGTAATGGCAATCCGAATACATCAACACCTATGATTGTGGAGGTGGATACAAAACTAGACACTCAGTTGCGACCATTGACATTTACTCTATTTGGTCTGATAGTAGAGGACACATTATTTGGATTCCCAAGCTAAATGATTCTTTTGTTCAACATTTCAGTCAGAGGGTACTTCGAAGGAACGTTCCCGCCTTCTAACAAGTACAAACAAGAAGCAAGTAAACCTGTTGATAAGGTAAGATTGTGTTTCTGGTTATTTGCCTCTCTGATTCTAATTTATATGAATATTATTGGGTGGACATATCAGTTAGTTTGTCAAAAGATTTCCTTTGAAAATTAGAAGAGTACATACTGTTTTTCTCCTCTAGGTTCTCTTCCCCTCCTTTTCCTGCTGTATTTTTCTTGTTCATGTTAGCTATTGTACATGTTTATTTGCATCTTCTGTTCTCTGCAGACTCACAAATTCTTGTTCTGCTTTTTAGTCTTTGATCCTTGTTTCTTCTCTAAAATTATTGTTGCTTTATGTTTGCCTAATTGGCTGAAACTTTTGAAATATTACACTCCTAAAAAGTGGTTCATGTATTAATGCAATGAAGGTGGTTTTTGTATTAGTTCGCTAGGACTTTTGGTAATTGCTCTGTAATTTGGTATAGTTGTATTTTGCTAATGTTAGCATATACTATTCTGTTCTTTTCTCTGGCTTTCTTGAGTTATAACTATTTTCAAATTGATCCTCTTTTCCATGATTGACTCAGAAATTCCTTAAATAAACTATATCTGCACAAAGCCAAGAATTGAAATATTACACTACCTTTGACTTCACTGTATTCAGTGCATGGACTCTCACAATTGACCAATTTGACCCACAGGTTGTGGCTAATTTTGTATATGGTTGTTTTAGTATATTAAATGATATTCCCTTTAACATGACATGAGTCTTTCTTCTTTTTGTTACAAAATTCTGCAGATACAAAGACATCTTGCACAAAACCATGAGACTGCTTGTAAAAGTCGGCTGCAAAAAAATGTGGAGGAGGTCTGCTTTGAAACAGATTCCCTAGCATGCAACAAGTGGTTTGGGATTTTAAATTTAATTTGTGTTTGTTTTGCAGGCCTATGTTCTTCATCTAGAATCTAGTAGATTGAAGTTAGTTCAGTTGGAGCAGGAGCTCGAGTGAGGTAAACAACAGGTATAAAGAAGATTTACTATTTCTGTTTCTTGTTTAGTTGATTGGTATGATGACACTAGAAACCGTTTCCCTCCTATTTCCTATTCACATTCAAATATTTGTAACAATGAATGCTACACTGCAGGGTTTGTATTTCGTTGGTGGAGTAGAAGGTTCTCAGTTGGGTTCTCTGGACCTGTAAATTCAGGTTTGTCAAAATATTGCTGAATAACTTCTGGTTTTGAAGTCCTCACCCACAAACATTGCTATTTCTGGAAATTGCATGTCTCTAATTGCGGTGATTTGGTATCTGACTCCCGGAACCTGGACTGTAGTATTGATCATAAGACTGTTTGTGGAATTTTGGTACTACTAGCTTACCACCACCAATCATTGTATGCTCCTGCTATTTAATGTTTTAATTGTGTTCCCTTCAAAGCATGATTCAACATAGTTACTATGAAATGTTGCTGGCGTCATGTTTGGTTTTCTGGGCTGTGAAATGATGTTGATTGTTGTTTCCACTCTTGTAAGCTGCTATCAATTGCGTATTGTTTTCTATGTGAAACATTGGTTTGTTTATTCTGGGCTTTTCCTGATATTTTTGCTTTCTGAGGCTGCATTTGTATCTTGTATTACCTTAATTGGTTTGCTTTCTTTTTTCTGTATCGCCATTGATTATCACAAACAATTATTTTAAATTGTTTTTTCTCTGTATTCTTTCGTTTGTTTATACAATTATCGGGTTTTTCTTTAAAAAAAAAGTTTTTATTATTTTCTCAAGAAGATGCATTTAAAATTTTTTTTTTTAAAAAAAAGATGTCATCATATTACTAATAGTTTAATAGCATACCATTATAATTTATATATTGAATGCAATATTTCCTTAACTTCCAATAATTTAATATATTGCTAATTAGAATATCATAGTAATTCCAGAAAAAGAAGGTGTTATAAAGCAAATAACAAGGTTTGATTGGCTCCTCTGATGATCTTTTCATTTGTAAGTGAAACAAAATGAAAATTTCACAATTTCTAAAGAGTAAAGTCCATTGTGTTAACTAAACCAAAAATTACACTAATGCAGCTAATATATAAAACACTTTATTAACTCAGGTAAACGCTTAATATCAAGAGAAGATCCTGTTCTATAAAAGCAATAAAAAATAAATGATTTGGATCTTCCTTCCTAGTTTAACAAATCATTATAAAACAAAATATGTAACTAATTATATTTTGTTCAATAATTTTCCTATAGTAATATTATTTAACAAGATGTTCTAGCATAGCATAGTTTAAGAATATTGAAAACATTTAAAAATATTTTACCAAAAAACATTAGTGTTAAGAATCAAGTTCAATGTGAAGTAAAATAAATAATATATGTTGAATAAATATTTTAGAAAAAAAAAAATTTACAATTTACAGTTTGCAATTGCACAATTGTTTATTTCTTTGTTATTTCTATTTTTTTTTTTTTTTTCATTTAGTTCTTATTCCATTTTCTTAGCTCTCGGTGCTTTAGTTATTGAATTCTCCATCACTTAAAAATGAATGAAAAGAATTGAATTTTGAGATAAAAATTGAATAAATTGATTGTGTTAAGGGGATTGAGAAATTAATATCTGTTTTGAAAAGATAGGAAACTGATGTGATACACATCTTTTTAATACAATTATATAACATGACTTGACTTTTTTAGTGATTTATCCATCTCAAAATAACAATAATTTCTATTCTTTTGGAAGTTATATTACAATTTCCACATCTATTTTGGACGTCAAAGAGTAGAGACAAATAACAATATAGAAAGAGACCTTTTATTAATTATTTTCCAAAATACTATTCCTTTTAAAAATGTTGTTATTTAGTTTCTAGCTTACCTTATCATATACTTCAAATTGAATGTGGAAAGTTTTTATGTTAGTTGTATTGACTTGTTAACTTGGACGACTATCAACTTTTTCTACAGTGTTATGAACGTAATTATTTTTATTTCTAAAAAAAAAAAAATCTCTTTAGGGCTTAACAATAATATTTAAGCTCCAACACTACATAATTTATAAAAGTATGTAAGGATTTTTCATAGGATCTCAATTGTATTGGTTAAAGTTATATTTTATTTCTTCAATTTAGAGTATAAATTAGTATATCACTTCAATGAAATATAATTGAATTTTTTAATTTATTGCACCGGAAGTTAGTATATTTTCAATGCATGTTTTATCTTTGTTTCATTTTTTAAGTAACTAATTTGATGACATTTTTTTTTTACAACTATAAAACACGGTTTGACTTGACCTTCTTTAGTGATCTATCTATCTATCTCAAAGTAACCAAAATTCCTTTTCTTTTGAAATTTATATTATAATTTCTATACTTATTAATAAAAAATACGGAAGAAAAGATGTATTGCTACCACATTAATTCATAAAATTAACTAACACGGCTTGACTTCCTCTGGTGATATATCATATATCCAAATTGCTCTACAATTTATAATCACACTCTTATTTTTGTTAGGAGACTTTGAATAAGCTTCAGCAAATACTTCATTAATCGTTGCATGTAATTTTTTGTTCAATAATATTTTTACAATAATATTATTTAGTAGGATTATCTTATCGGGTGCTCTTAATTTATACGTCAAGGGCATTAAAAGACAAAGAATTTAGTATATCAATATATGTATCCTTATTAGAGAACATATTAAAACAATCATATTTAGTAATTATGAGGGTCTATTAAACGTAGTTTCATGATATATGAAAAGCATTTACAAGTATAATAACACAGAGAATTATTGTTAATAATGACGCTGGATTCAGGTTTAATGTGAAATTAAGTAAATAAATATATAGTGAAATATATGTTCATCGGCAGAATTTGAATAAGCTCATCAAATTCTTAAAATCAATTATAAGGCTTGACCTACTATTGAGATGATGAGAACTATCCAACTAAGAGTACAATTTGCAATTGCACAATTGTTTATTTTTTCGTTATATATATATTCATTTATTTCTTCTCCCCTTTTCTTAGCTCTAGTGCTTTAGTTATTGAATTCTCCATCACTTAAAAATGAATGAAAAGAATTGAATAAATTAGTCATGTTCAGGGAATTGAGAAATTAGAGTTTATCTTGAAAAGATAGGAAACTGATGTGATGACGCATCTTTTTAATATAATCATATAACACGGCTTGACATTTCTTAATAATTTATCCATCTCAAGGTAACAACAATTTCTATTATTTTGGAAGTTATATTACAATTTCTACACTTGTTTTGAACGTCGAAGATTTGAGATAAGTAACAACCAAGAAATAGACCTTTCATTAATTATTTTCCAGAAACCATTCCTTTTAAAATACTGTTATTTAGTTTCTAACTTGTCTTATCTTACACTTCAAATTGAATGTGGAAAATTTTTATATTAGTTGTATAGACTTGTTGACTTGGACAACTATCAACCATTTCTACCATACTGTGAACGTAATTATTTTTATTTAAAAAAAAAAAAATCTCTTTAGGGCGTAGCAGTAATATTTAAGTTCCAACACTACATAATTTATAAAAGTATGTAAGGATTTCATAGGATTTCAGCTTTATTGGTTAAAAATATATTTTATTTCTTTAATTTAGAGTCTAAATTAGTATATTATTTTCACGAAATATAATTTAACTTTGTAATTTATTACATCAAAAGTTAATACATTTTCAATGCATGTGTTTATCTTTGTTATGTTCAATGCATGTGTTTATTTTTATTTCATTTTCAAATAACTAATTTAATAACACATCTTTTTGACCTTGTTTAGTGATCTCCTTATCTCAAACTTTTTTTTCTTTTGAAATTTATATTATAATTTTTACACTTGTCCATAAAAACAAGGAGGAAAAGATGGATTGCTACCACATCAATCTCATAAAATGTATTAACACAGCTTGACTTCCTCTAGTGATATATTCAAATTGCTCTATAATTTGCAATCGCATACTTGTTTTTGTTAAGAGACTTTTAATAAGCTTCGGTGAATACTTCACTAATCTTTGCACGTAATTTTTTGTTTAATAATGTTTTTTGCAATAATATTATTTAGTAGAATTATTTTAACGTTTGCCCTTAGCGCATACGTCAAGGGCATTAAAAGATAAAAAATTTAGTATATCAATGCATTGATTTTTTTAGTACATAACATGTATTGAAATATGACTTCTTCAAACTCATGAATTTCTTTGTTTCTTTCTTCTGCAAAATAAAAAAAGACTGAAATAAGAGAAATATAAATGGGTTATTGTCCTTACCAAGGAATAAACCACAAAAAAAATTAATTTTATTTTATCTAATTCAATAAATTGTTATAATACTTTTTGTTACAATAACAATTTCTATTTCTATTTTAATATACAAATTAAACACTATCAATATATATCAAATTAAACACTATCAATATATATAACCATCAATAATCACTGTAGTGGTAATTAATTTAAATAAATATCTTTAATAAACTAATTTAAATCTCTATTCTATTTTAAGGATTAATTACATAATCACCATGGGGGAAGACGGTGAAACAAGGTTTGTGGCCTCACTGGCCTCTACTACGCTTCAGAGTTGGGGGCACCGGGGCAGCCAAAGGGGGGGTGTGGTGTTAATTTTTCGAACCTAAGGGGTGTTATCTAATTAATCCTTTTTGATAGGCTCATTGCATTGGCGGTTGCTCTCTTATCGATTATTCTTTTTTATTTCTCTAATTGCAGAGCTCTGCATATCCAGAAAAGCGCAGGAAANATCAATTTGAATTTGAATTTGGGTAGAAATTTATCAGTTGAGAGATATCATTGAGTAGCATAATAACTTTATTAGTGTTGTTTGCATCAAGGTTCTGAAACCCGGACCGGACCAGGCAGTCGAACCGGTCGGACCGCCACCCGCTAGCATTTCCGGTTTGAAGAGAGCAAATAACCGGGATTTGCCATTAAGCCGTTTCAAACCGCGGTTGGACCGTCGTACTGTAGCAAACCGACGGTCCAACCGTTATTTAACAAATTTCCGGTCCACACATTTCCGGTTTAACACATGAAATAAATAAATAAAATTTAAAAATTCAAAACAATCACATGCGCACACATAAAAGTCAAACTGTCAAACTCAAACCAAACCCTCAAAATTTTTATTAAGAAACACATTTTTAATTTGCTTTTGAGCTACAGATACACTTATACAGAGCCGTCTCCCTTCTTCAACTTTTCACTTTTTCATCTGGTTTGCCGTTTGCTACTGCCATTCACAATCTCCTCCACTCTCCAGTCTAGTCCTCCTCTTCATGTCCTCCATTCGAGATCTCAGAAGTCGGATCTCCTTCAAGCTTTCAGCTAAGCTTCAACGCCTCACGTCTTCACTCTTCAGTCTTCAAGTCTTCGGTCTGCAGTCTGCTCTACTCTGCTTCAGCGCTTCATTCTTCAACTTCCAGTCTTCTAGTCTTCAACGTGAACTCTTCAATCATCACCATCTCCATTGCTGATCTGTCGAATAAGTCATTTCAGCTCAGATTTCAGCTTC